GTGAGCCACCGCACCCGGCCCATCATCTGGGAGTTTATAAGAAATGCAGAAGCTCAAGTGCCACCCCAGACCTTATGGATCAAAATCTATTTTTTAAAAGATAATGCCATTATTTTTATTTAATTTGAGGCATGAAAAATTAAACACACCTGCATTTAAATTAAGGCGAAAAAAGGATAACAGTAAATATGCAGTGCCTATAAAGTACTCTGTGGTCATCACATTGATGGTGTTAACCAGCCCACAAGGTCTGGTGAGACACTTATTCTCTGCTACAGGGACAAGCAGATGGCACAGACATAGATAGACTAGTTTCCCCGAGTGCAGAAGAGAAACATGGCTAACATTTTATAATCCAATTACCCATTTTTCATGACTGCTTATCAACCTGCCCACACTTGTGACTGCATCATCTTTTTCATCTAAAAAGGAAAAGCTCTGTTTTCTTCTATACCATATTCGCATAATACTTCTGACACTAAACGTGTGAGGTTTTTCTCCCCATACCAACCAATTCTCCAACTCTGTGGACACCAACTGGGTATCCTACAAACAATTCAACTATGACACTAACTACCTGGAGTTAGTGCAGACCCCGCAGGTTAAGGGCTCAGTCTCACAAGACTGCACCCCACTTCAAACACCAATCACAGCTAGTGGGTCCCCAGGTTACCCACACTTCTGTCCAATTTGGCTACAAATGGGGGTTCCCACAACCCCCTCCTTGGGTTTGATAACTTGATATGATGACACAGATGGGAGAGGGGCTGGAGGTTGAGTTAATAATCTACCATGCCACATAGACTGAAATGCCATCTACGGAATCTAGACCCTGGTGACCTTTAATTCCAAAGGGCCTGTGTATCCTTGTCTATATCTTCTTGATCTTTTCCTTCCGGTATCACATCTGTACCCCTCTGATTGGGGTCTGTAGCATTGTCCGCTAAACACAAAAACTAGATATGAGCATTTTTTAGTTTGATTATATGCCTAGTACAGAGCCTTATATGGCAGGTGGCTAAATATTTGCTGAAAGGAAGTGAATCTTGAAAATATATAAGCTTTATTTAAAAAAGAAACAAAAATAGGAAGTGAAAAAGCTAAAGAAATTATATATAAGAAAACTGTAGGAATAGCCTCTATACCCTATCATTGGTCTGTTCAAAAGCTCACAGGGGCCTCAGGTTGTAACATAACGGGTAAGTGCTCCCCCTCCGACGTCAGATAGCCTCTGACAGTGCCGTAAGATATTCAGTAACGCGTGAAACTTCTTGTCAACTTTCAAAGTCGCGAACTCCTTTATGTCAGCTTCCATTATAAAATAATGACCTTTGGTATCTTTTGTTTCTTCATCAATAAATCTATGATAGAGATTTCTGGCCACAGAATTCATAGACTTTTTTGGTTGATATAGGATCTTATATTTATTAATTACTGCCTTGTTGATTTCTTTAATAACATTATTAATTTGACAACAGGTTAAATGGGATTTCATGTACGCAGGAATACCATTAAACTCATCACAAGTTATCAACAGCATTTCTTTAATACTTCTTTGTTCTTTTGGGGGCTTCTTTATGGGTGCAGATTCCTCAATGTTGACTGGTTCTTCAGGGTCAAGATCTGATCCCTTAACAGAGCTTTGGGTGACTGTTCTGGAGGCAAAGGGGAAGCAACGTTTTCTTTGAGATGTTCCACATCTTTGTGATATTCTTCGAGAGGCTCACAGAGTTCCTTGAGTGAACTGTTGGTGTGTTCTTGATACTGAATTTTCAATTCCAATTTCTTTAGAAGTTTATTTACTACACTGATCTCATCTCCAATTTTATTTAATATAGTTTTCAATGTAGGTTCTTTGTTAGGTCCAGAGCCAAGAGGGAGACACATGAAGCCTCATACATAGCAAAATGCTGTTTCTTTGAGCATCTGGGTGCAGATGGGTGGAGGCCTAAAAGAGCATCCATGCTGAGGAAGGGGAGAGCCTTGGGTTTTATAGAGAGTTTTTCCAAGGGGAGTAAGCAACTGGGCCAGAAGAGCGGCTGTAATAAATTCTTTTCAAACAACCCGGAAGCATAAGCATCATCCTTATCAGGAGGGATGAGGAAAGTAAGTTCCCCTCTTGCATCCCATTTCTTTATCTCCCTTGGGGTCTGGCAAAGGCTACATGCCTAATACACCGCTAGGAAGGGGTGAGTGGTGGATTTTATAGGAGGTTTGGATGGAAGTTTGGAGACGGTGAATTCTTTAAGCCTAACATTTTTGACCACAGTTTCTTAATGACAGAGTTTTCTTAAGATTGCCAATCTTTTCAATAACATGAGAGCATAACTGTTCCAGATCTGAGGAGGCCATCCTTTAAGCCTCTCAAGCTGGTCCGGGAATAAAGGGCCTACTCGCAGCTGGGTCATGAGCCGCAGACACCCTAGTCTCTGGGGGAAGCCGGTGATCCTCAAATCTGTTTTTTAACAATATTCCCCCTGGTGATTTGTGCACATTCAGTTTGAGATTTTCTTTTTTTTTTTTTTTTTTTTTTGCTTTTTTTTAAAAGGCTGGTCAAGTGAAGCAGTGGGAGTGGAGAAGGAACAGAGGAACCTGTAACTGGTTGTGATCAATTAGTTGTAAACACCGCTGCACTCGGACCAAGCCAGTTTGAGAATTTCTGGTGAAACCAAAGCCAAAGCTGACTAAGGGCTGTGAGCTCTAAGCTAGACCCTCACCAGACCTAATTGTAGACTCCTTCCCAACCCATGAATAATGGGATTGTCTTAAGCAATTGCTGATGGATTTCTGGAGTCATTGTGCTCTATCCAGAGTTCAAGAGTAGCCCTTAATTAGCATAACTATGGCACCTCCAGCACCACCTTTCCTAGTATGTAAACCCCCATCAAGCAGCACTGAATTTCTTCACTGGTAGGGGAGCTTTCTTGCTGGGCAAATAAATAAACTTGGCACTTGTTTTGTTGATTACTATAATGAACTTTGTTTTCCCTTAATAGTTGTTCCTAGGTGGATGTGGTGGCTCAAGCCTATAATACCAGGTACTGAGAATTGATTGAGGCCAGGAGTTCAAGACTAGCCTGGGCAACATAGCTAGACCCCTTCACATACTCCCACTCCACCCCTGTCTTGAAATAAAATTTAAAAATTTTTAAGAAGTTGTTACTACAGAACTTGGCCCTCACTGCCTTAAATACCTTGTTCGGGGCAGTCTGTGGCCTAATCAATTTCTCCAGGGTTTCTCTCCGTGAGAAACATACCTGGGAAAATGGGGAGTGAGATGGGAACGTAGAACGAGTTTGTAGGAACGGGCTGAGAGAAGAGTAATTGTAGGAGAACATGGCCTTGAAAACATAAGCTGAACTTTGAGCACCTATCAGAAGAAAGCACAGCCCTTCAGATAGGTGCATATCCCCATCTAAGCTAAAATAATTGAGATTCAGATGATTCTGGACCTGTTTGGCACAGTCTTTTGCCTGGAAAACCCAATAATCTTGCTCTTTTTACTACCCTACTACTATTTTAGCCCACTAAATGCTTAGACCCTGGCAATCTTCAGTGGGGGTGTTAATTGCCAATGAGTTCTCTGCCTTCAGAGTGTGTCAGAATCACCCAACCCTGGCAAGTTGGATCTGATTGGTTTGGCCTAGGGTGGGGTCTAGGAATCTGTCACGTAAACAAACTCTCCAATCAGTTTGATATAAGTATCCATGTTTCAGAGAAAATTATTTTTCACTCATCAATCATGCGTTAAATGTGTACTGAGGACTAGGCCCTTCCCATAAGTCAGCTCATTGAGAGGAGGGAGAAGGTCTTATTGATCCCTGCATCTTGGCTCAAAACAAGACTTGTCACAGTGTAGCACACTCGAGAGTGTTTGAGGAGTAAATGAACCAAGGTTCCCGCACAATTAGCTCCAATACCATGGAATGAGCACCCAGGCAGCATGGCACAGAGGAAAGAGCATGGTCTCAGGCATCAGCCTGCCTGGTTGCAGAGTCCTGCTCTGTTACTTTTCTGCTGGGGCCTTACTTCGCCCTCTCCGTGCCTTGGTTTCCCCAAATGCAAAATGAAGTCGGTTAAATCGAGAAGTGAATGAGTTACCATATAAGAACAGTCCAAACAGTGTAAGTTGGTAGTATTGTGAGTACTCTGTTGATAGTGTCAGCAGCCACTGTACATTGGACAGCTATTATGTTTCAGGCACTCTGCTAAATGCTTTCACATGCATTATTGCATCTCCTCCTCACAACACCCCTATGAGGTAGAGACTGTTGCATCATTTACAGGGAAGGAACCGGGAGAAGTAACTTTCCCACGGTCATATACTGATGGAGCCAGATATCGGCCTCATGGGCTATGCTGTAGCAGCAGTTTTCAAACTGGGGTTCCTGGATCAGCAGCAGCAGCAGTAGCAACAAGCTCCTGGAAACTTAGAAATACAAAATTGTGGGCCCCACCCCAGATCAACAGAATGAGAAACTTGGAGGTTGTAGCCCAGGACTCTGTTTTATCAAGCTCTGCAGATGTCCGATTGAGTTGTGGGGTTTTTTTGTTTTGTTTTGTTTTTTGTGAGCCAAAGTCTCACTCTGTCACCCTGGGTAGACTGCAGTGGCATCTTCATAGCTCACCACGACCCCAAACTCCTAGGCTCAAGCAATCCTCTTGCCTCAGCCTCCCAAGTAGCTGGGATTACAGGCAAGTGCCACCACATTCGGCTAATTTTTCCACTTTTTGTACAGATGGGATCTTGCTCCTGCTCAGGCTGGTCTCGAACTCCTGACCTCAAGTGATCCTCCCGCCTCGGCCTCCCAGAGTGCTAGGATCACAGGTGTGAGCCACCATGCCTGGTCCCTGATTGAGTTCTGATACAAACTCTGATAAAAGATTAAGAATTCCCATGTGGAGGACTGTGGGTGTTCCAGCCAAACCAGATCACCTACATTTCCCAAGGTTTGGGAGGCCCACCAGGCTTATGAGACCCTAAACAGAGAAAATAAAATTAAGCAAATTAACCTCACTGTATATCACAGACTTAACCGGATAGGGAAGAATTATTTTTAAATGACTCTAAATCATAGAGATTTAATGGGACATCCTTAATGGTATATGGTCATGCATCACATATTAGTCCATTTTGCACTGCTGTAAAGAAATGCCTGGGTAGTATATACAGAAAAGAGGTTTATTCGGCTAACAGTTCTGCAGACTTCACAGGAAGCATGGCACCCCTGCTTCCAATCAAGGTGGAAGGTGAAGGGGGAGCGGGTGTGTCACATGTTCAGAGCGGGACCAAGAGAGGGAGGAGGTGGTGCCGGGCTCTTTTAAACAACCGGCTCTCATGATGATGCCACTGTACTCTATCCCAGGCAATAGAGTGAGATCCTGTGCCAAAAAAACAAAACAAAACGGAAAAAAACCCAGCTCTCCAGTGAACTAAAAGAGTGAGAACTCGCCCATTATCTCCGGGAGGGCACCAAATTGTTCATGAGGGATCTGCCCCCATAACCCAAACACCTCCCACCAGGCCCCACATTCAACACTAGGGATCAAATTTCAACATGAAGTTTGGAGGTGCCAAACATCCAAACCTCATCATGTCACCTAATGATGGAGATGGGTTCTTAGAAATGTGTCATTAGCTGATTTGGTCATTGCGTGAACATCATAGAATGTGCTTAAACAAACCTAGATGGTATAACCTATGGCTTCTGGGCTACAAACCTGCA